GGGTGGGGGGGGGGGGGGTGTGTAGGTTAGGTGTTGGAAACTCTTATGGTGGCGTGAAAATCTGTTTTGACTCCTAATTATGAATTTAAAGTTCTAAAAATAGTACAAATTAAGCAAATCACAAATACTTAAAACCTTAAAGATGGACCGTGTAGACAATGGCGTACAAGTGTTATTCCTTTCAGGACTTTGGTTTGTATTTTGAATTCATAATTTTCGAAGCCGATATGACAAATTGGAAGGTTTTCTAGCATGAGGTTTTTGTAAGTGCTACACCTTATAGAAACTTTTCTCTTTAAGTTTACTAATCACTTTTCATTAAATATTTCATTAGATATGTGTTGGCTTGGGGCTCCTAACTATTAGATATGTGTTGGCTTGGGGCTTCCTCTGTAAGGAGTGAGGCCTTTTATTTCTTTTTTTTGGTAATTCAGTGGGGAATATTTATTTTTATTTTTTTGGGTAATTCAATAGGGAATACAAGCCTTTACTCATTTTTGAAATAGTTAATAGTATTTTAAGATGTCAGTGAAAACGAAAGCCACAACAGGCAACTAAAGTATGGGGGTATTACCGCCACGACCCCGACCCTTTCCAACTCACGAATGAGGTCATTGGTAACCTTTATTGCTATTCACATAAAAGGAAGATAAGTCGCCAAATGTAAGATTTTGACCAACGAAAGCCCTAAAATATATGAACCAATTGTGTTACACATGACTATTCTCTAAATCTTTAATGTGCATACGCACCATCGATTTTTTATTAATTTGCAATGACATGTTTGTTTGGTCCTTTCCGTGTGATTTTGTACTGAATCTTCATTTGACTTTTTATAGATTTGGGTCTAAAATATGTAAAGATTAGAATTTCGATTTACCAAACAAATGCATAACTAGTCATGCATTATAAGATACATAGCATCAACTCGAGTCAATTTTGTGAGAAAAACAATAAAAAAACTAGAAGGCCCACCAATAGTGACCCAAAAGGTCTACATTTTACAATTTTTTCACTTATTGTTCTAAAGGAAATATAAAGTGCCCAATGATTTTATATCCTATCATACAAAAACTTTCCATTATTTCTTATTTCTATCATTTACATTTTCCCTATTTATATGATTTGTTTATATATGTTTCATTTGTTTCTATATTCCTTTAATTTTGGATTACACCAATAACTCAGGCTCATCCTTGGACTCGTCAGGGTCCCGATCCGAGTCACCTGATCCAACTTATTGAGTCCCGAATCAAACCGGCGATATTTTAACAACAAAAATAGGGTTTAGAGGCCAACTCGGACTAAGTTTTTGCCTCTAGACTAACCACACACCCAAGTCAAGCCGACTCAGGTGAGGCCCGAGCCGAGTTGGGGATTTGTCATACACTGGGGTTCACATGAGCCTCAAAACATAGGAATCATGTCCACAATGACTTGCCATGTCCATTAGTAAAAGTAAAAAAAATCAGGCTTTACCTTTAACATTTAAGAGCCACCTTTATTTATTCGCCAACTTTTGTAAATAAAGCTTTGCGTAATGCTTTCCTAAAACTTTCTTTTCAGGGATTGAGGTTAGCTTGATTTGGATAAGGGAGAAGACGTCACGGTATTGCACCAAAAGCTAGGGGACAAGATCTAAGTATTAAAATTCAGTCAAATTGACTTCATTCTTTGTAAGTCTTCTTTTATTTTTACAAAAAGGAATACAAAGGCCCTCTACAACGCTTCTCTACAATAGTATACCCAGCACACGAACTGTACACAATCCAAGCATTGCCCCCCCCTCTCACACACCAGAGTCCCAGCAGACAAAACTCTATACACAAAATCAAAACTGGAAGTCCTAGATCTGGTGGGAATGTCATGAAGATGGAAATAGATAGCCTGTGCAATCTCTCTCTGCCGCCCTGCCTCCCCTAAACTCAATATGGTTCAGCTTCTTTTGACACCAGATGAGTTGATCGGAGGTAATAGTAGACATCTTCAAAACCCTGGAGATGAGTTTCATATCGATCATACAAAACAACATCTCCATTCTATCTGATTCTTGGATAGGGGTTGACCTCTTCACCCAGCACCTATTCTTTCTTTGCAACCCCTTCATCTCAATTTCCTTCTGCACAATAGAAAAGAACAATTAAAAATAAAACCAACCCACAATTGAGGAAAAAAAAAACAAACCCAAATAAACATTTTGAGTCTTGAAAGCTCTTAGAAAAAGAGAATTGAGGTTTAAATAATGAAAACATTTTTGGACTTACTGCATGAAGTCTCCTTTTGAGGTCACTGAGTACCTCTAAGTCTCTTGGGTCTTCAACTCTAGGGTGGGTGAAAAAAAGGCCTTGAAGATTCCAAGAAGAACACTTACTGTCTGTTTTGATAAAAGCCCAAAATGTCTTTATTGAGTCCTCTATCACTCTGACCAGTTCTTCTGGTGTCATTGTTTTCTCTGTGCTTCTCTCCACTCCTTGCAAGTATCCTTTACTTAATAAGAATTTTACACTAAATTCTAGTTATCCAATAAAAGAAAATGCATGAGAGAGAGAGGTGTTGTACGTGAAAGCTCTAAATTCAATGGGTTGATTTTTGACAAATAAAGTATGATAAATAAAGCATGAAATACATACCACAAGATTGCAAAGATTTATATAGTTCACCTTAAAAGGGCTATGGGCACGGCAAACTAAAATCCACTATACCAATGAAAGTTATATCAAAGATTTTGGGATATAGAGTTTACCTCTCTAACCCTTAACAAAACCAAGTCGAGCAAATCCTTTTAGACCACTCTTTCAACCGACACTACATGTCGTTCTTCCTTCTCTTTACTTGTGGCAATCATTATCGATAATACCAGATAGAGACACGAGACAATGAGAAACTGATTTTCTCGCTAACTAAAAGGTAAAACCACCTAAAATCTCTATGGGAAGTGCTTCTCTACAACAAACTAATGTTTCTCTCCATAGAAAGCTTTCTTCTCTCTAAGAGAGAACTTGCATCTCATGTACAAGAGGCCCTGCCTCCCTCTCTTTCTAGAGGAAGTCATCTTTCCCATATGGTGACCCAACTAAGACACACTAAATTCTCTACTCTTTCAACCCATGTATATAAAGTTAGGAATCCACCCTAAATAGAAAATTTCTTCTAGATGTTACATATGTCTAAAAAACCAGGAGATATATCCAAGAGTCCTAATCATTTTGGTCTATTTTCTTTAAGAAACTTATCAATATCAATCTCAATCCCACATAATTATGTGGGTGATTTTGGATATCACCATATCCAACAAGAGGGAGAAGGGGTCATGAACTTATTTTTGTATGTGTGAGAGAGAGAGGGAGAAAGTGAGACAATGAGAGGGTTGTGAACTTATTTGTTGTGTGTGTGTAAGTGAGAGGGGATTGTACTTGAGAGGTTAGTTGTTTATGATTTGGAAGACTGTAATAAGTTCGATTCCTACTGCTGACCAACCATGAGAGAGCAGTGGACATGGTATTGGAGTGCAACTAATATTAACATATTATAACGCGAGATCAAGATTCAAGAATACGCGTTAAAGCAGAGAAAAACAGGGCACACTACCAGCTATAGCAGGAACATGGAGGAAATATTTCTGAGAAAACCTGCACTGGACATAACTCCAGAATCTTTCTCCATAGAACTTCTCATTCTCCATGAATCTCTCCAACAATACCTGGAATTGCTGAAACCTCCCTGCACTGTAATTGTACACAATGCTCTCCCTGTCATCAGGGGAAGACATATCCTGGACCTTCCTGAACTGGTGATGGAGAGCATCCCAACATAAGCATGACTGCCCAACATATACAGTCTCAAAGTCACTCTGTAAGCTCCTCATGAGCCTTCTCATCCCAGCTTTGCTTGAATAGATTTCAGGAGTATATGTAGTTGCAAAGGCCAAGACATCAGATAAACTGAAGTTTCCCACTTGTTTGTTTAACATGGTGCCTGAGATTTCAAACACATAATTAGTTTTTTCCGTTGTCACAATGAAATCATGGACTGATAAAACGTTATGAAACAATAAAAACAAAATTCAGCTAATTCAAAAAGTCCCTCTAAACTTTTAGACATTCAAAACAAATTCATTTTGCACGAGTGAAAACTCACTTGTAAAATGAATCATCTCTGAGATTTTGTCAATGCTACAAGGGATCCAGGTATAAATGAAGTTGGTTATCTATATGAAAGGCTTATTTTAATAAAAATAAATTTGGTTCTCTATATAAGTGGTTCTTTAGAACAAAAACAGAGGCATGTTCTAAATATGATGAAAATTTTTGAAACAGGGAAATTTAATCAGTAAGAAACCAAGATTTGAGTACCCACTTATTGCCAATGTTCTTTCACAGTTGAGTGTATCAAACCACTTCATCCTTTCATTGTAAACCCTGTAAAACCCATCCATTTCTTCTTCTCTTCTCTCCTGGAATTCCCTTTCCAAAGCTCGATATTCAAAACCAACAACAAGCGCCAAGGTCTCGTCTTCTTCACTTTCACCACTCTGGCTTTCAAGTTTCAAATCCTCCACTCGGACATCTTCCAACTCTGGTATTAAACTTTCCCCATATCCAAAATCAGTTCTTTGAAGTTCAAGGCCTCCTGATTCTTCTCCCATATCTGAGCCATCTTGAAGAAAGTCATAGTCATATAAAACAATGCTCTGTATTGGGTTTGCAATCTCATTACTTCCTTTTGTTAAAGATGGATGACTATTAGTATTATCTAATACATAACCATCTTTAACTTCTTCCTCCTGAGAACCACTGTAATTATCAGGACTCAAGAACAGATATTCATGAATGATTAACTCATAATCACTCTTCTCAACCTCCAATCTTCTTGATTCTTCTTCAACTTCTGGTTGAGCTTGAAAAGAATTTGTATTACTGTGATTTTGAGGCCTACCGAAGAAAAACTCATAAATCATGGCCTCAAATTGTCGAGTCATACGATTTCCCACCACTTTGAACAGAGCTAGCATAGCCAGGCGAATCATCCAAGAAGTACGAAATGATAATCCCGAGACATATTTTCCGAAAACTCGATCCCAAATCACTATCTTGAATAAAAGATACCACGAAGGGTTGATATATAAGCTCACAAGGTTCCATGCTAGAGATGCTAAAGGGACCAGAATACTAGAGATGATCCAAAATGAAAGCAAGCCCATCCTAGAGAGAGTGGTAGAGTGAGATGGATTCTTCAAGTTACAGGGCTTTGTAGTAAGCCTGATGGATTGGATTGGTTCCCTGGATTGACTTTTGTGATTTGTGCAAGGTTGGTCTTTTGAAGTTTAATATCAAGGCGTTTTTCAAGGTTTAATGTTGGGAGGCATGTAGCGTACTCCCTCGCAAGCACACTATAGATTTAGACCTCAGGCAAAAGAGGAGTTTTTCCACCGTCAAATTTCGGGATCAACTTTACAATCACCATATGAATGCTAAAAAAAATCAGAAAAAACATTTGTTTTAGTTTCTAAACACTTAGATCTGAGAGGCCAAAGAATTGAATCAAACAACTTCCATTCAATTTTAAGATTTTATTTTTTCTGCAACATACAAGATGTGTTTGGCTTTATGTTTGTCTCCGTATGTTCGTTTTTTCACCCATTTTGTAACTCATAGATCCGAAAATTGGTAGGAAAATCAGAACTCATAGCTTCCATGCCCTCTATGGAAGCTGTGCTCTCTATGGAAGCTGCAAGTTTGAAAATTCATGCTCTGGAGCTGAAACCTCTAAGAAATAAACCGCTCATAAGAGCGCAAATGCTACTTTTTATTATTATTTTCTAAAGGTAGTCGCTAGGTTGAAAAGTCTACATCCCAAAATAAGGTCCTACAAGTAATCAAACATGAAGCTTCAAGTGGGGGAGTGAATGTATAATATGCACCTGCAGGAGCACATAATCTTGTGACCGAGTCATCAAGAGCATCATGGAAATAGAGGGATTTCAGCATAAAAATTAGAGAGATGGGGCTCACACAATTGAGTATAAGAGTTGTTAGTTGGTCAAGAATTAGGCAATTACTTAGCTGCTAAATAACATTTGGGGTGACGCAACCATGCCAACGTCATGGAGGTAACGACCTTATAACTATTTTTTTCAAAAGGGCATAATATTAAGGGAACTCAATACCTATGTGCATTGTCAACAACCTCCACACTGAACATGCACCCGCGGGAGTATATCTTATATTTTCTCCCTAGGGAAAATCCTATTTGGGAGTATTCTTTTTTTAACATGGTTTGAGAAAGGTAAAGCCTCACCTTATAACTCACTGAAAATTGTAGTTCTGGTATCGGAAAACCTACAAATTGATCATATTGGCTCGACCATTTGGGTGTGAAAAAAAATAGGATGTAAAGCCCTAAAAATAGTGTATATTGCAATATGTTATCCAGACCATCCGTTTCACCTTAAAAATAAATGTTTATGGATCCACAATATCTTTACTATTTTTTTAGCATCAAATTTTATAGTTGGTATCGACTTTAGAGCCGTCATGGAGATTTCGGATGCCCAAAATATTTTTCTGAAGAGGATTCAAGGCGTGGCTTTGCTTTGATTTCTTAAAGCCTAGGCCTAATGGAAACTACCAAGTTTATATAGAGCCAATGCTTTAAACAATCAAATTAGAGCCCACCTCAAAAATTTCACTAGAAGAGGTTGTTGTGATGTCCAAATATCCTCAAATAGATCATCTCGACATTAAGATGCAGGGATATGAGAAAAAAAATAGATTTCAAGTTTTGAAATAGTACATCTTGTAACACATTTTTAGACTGTCAATTTTCAAGATTTTTAAGTTTTTATATATCTGCTCAATCTACACTATTTTTTAAGTTTTAAATATTATAATTAAATGTAAAAATGTATTTTAAGGCTATCATAAAAATTTCTAATATTGAAACCATATTTCTCGACATTATTTGAATGTGCACTTTACTTTGATTATTTAGAGCCTCGGCTCTATACAAACCGCACCCTTTAGAATAAGGCGGAGGTCTGAAGCGAGTCAACTTGGGACTTGCCAAATCGATTCACATAGGACAGGGGTGTCCAGTGCATGTTTGAAGTTTAACAAGCTAAAACTAACAAAACACACCTAGCATGTTCTGGCGAGAGCATACTATGTATTGGCTTCCGGATAAGGCCTAAGCGTTAGGAAAATGAAATAAAGCCTCACCTCTAATCCTTGTCCAAAAAGCACTTTTAGCAAAAAATTTCTTCATGATTGTTCTAAAATCAATTTCTAACATAAACAATAAAGTTTGAAATTAAAAAATAGTACAGATCTAAGAAAAAATATTTTTAAGGTGAAATGGATGGTCTAGATGATTTGTTATGGTATTCTTTATTTTTAGGGCTTGAAGTCCTAATTTTTTTTCACAACTATAATGTGCCGAGATGATGGATGTAAAGGTTCTCCAATGTTTGGATTGTAATTTTCGATGAGTTATTAGTTGATGATTTACTTGGGGTTGCAGCCCTATATACCATTTTTTTACCTTCCTCATGCAAAAGAGCTACTTAGGAGGATTTTTATCTCAAATTTTAGGATCTACCTAAAAAATGATAGATAATTATTTACAATAAATAAAAATTCAATTTTGAGTTCTTTAACACTTAAATCTGGCCCTCAAAAAATTGGAATCTCCCTATTTAATCTCGTAACATTATTTTTTTAAAAGAAAATAGTAATTTGACGCATTTTAAATAAGTTTCCGCTCTAAATTCAATAAATTACATCCCAACATTTTAGTGTCTCAAGAATGCTTCTTAGTTTTACATGAGGGAGCAAATTGACAGTATGGTTTCCACAAAAGCAGCAAATCTTTTCACAAAACTATATAGAGATCACATCCTTCAACCCAATTTTTCTCTTTCTCTCTCTCTCTCACCTTAGATATAAAATACCAAAAGCCTTACAAAAAGCCCAAGGCCAAATTTCCTTGAAAAGAAACTTCTTAAAGTCAAAAAAACCACCTCTCTTCCTCCTTTAATATTCATTATAAAAGGTAACCAAAGGATAACCATAGTCCCACACATGAAAATTAAATAATAACATCCTCCTACAGGCTATATTTTGTATACGTAATATTTAACTGAAAATATTTGGAATAAGATTATAAATAATTAAGTAAAAATATTTTAAAAGAAATTAACTAAAATAGAGAGGGGGCAGGTTCTGGTGCTCCAAAGGGGGCTTCTCCTGAGGCATTGATGGGCTTGAATCCAAGATTTGCAATAATTTGCTCGGCAATTATTTCATTGGCTGCATCAGTGGGGTGATACTCGTCCCAGAATACATATTTGCTTCTATCTTTGCAAAGACTCGATGCTGGAATACAAGTGAGGGCCGGTCTGATTCGGCCAAATGAGCAACAAGGCGAGTCCGAGTTTTCAAAACCTGGAAATGAATCATTATAGGGGTCAACAACCATCCATTTGTGCGTCACTCTAGAGCAATGGTGATAAACTAGCTCACATACATTGAAAAAGCAAACGACTTTGGACGGAGGCAAAAATCAACATTGATCAAATTATATTGGATAGTGCAAATGTCAAAACCTGAAGCCCTGACAAACACACACATGGAACAACCTTCTATAAGCTACCTTGCCTATAGAACAATTGTGAACCAGACAGTCGAGATAGAACTATGGTAAGGAGCATTTTGGTAAAAAAAATAGTGTATCATGTTTTTTTTTTTTATACACCTAAGTGAGGTACATTACTTCCCAAAATAATAGGGTCAAAATTATTCATAAAATATTAAAAATAGAACAATGCACATACATGTCGCAGTCCAAAATAGAACAATGCACATACATGCACATACATGTCACATACAATGCACATACACTTCTACTGGAAAACCATTTTGGTGATATTTATTTGACCCCAGATTTAGTGCACACACTCTCTTCATCCCAATAATCAATCTCAAAAATATAAACTTCAATTTGCACCTTAGATATTGTCAAAATAAGTCTCCTCCAACAATGAATCTAGACCATCATTTTGGTGAATTTCAAGATCTAGGTATTACAAATTCAAAATCAATTTTTTTTTTTTAAACATTTTTAACCTAATGGTAATAAAACTATTTAAAAAATTTGGAAATAAAAATCGTTCCAAGCCCTAGATCTAAACATCTCACTAAAATAGACGTCCTATATTAATTGGGATAATAAAAAGGTTTCTATGGTGCGCTTTCAGTTTTGTATTTGTTTTTTTTTATGATTGTTTATTAAAATGAAAAAAA